TGGTTGCGCCACTAATGTGCGCAAACCAAATAAAAACTAGGTCAAGGATTCCAAACAGATGGAGAACGAAATAAATATACCCTCGAATCGGCTTCGATCAGCTCTTTCTTCGTCTTCGCTGGCAAACACAGCACTTTGCACACTTTCCAGATAAGCTTCTTCTGAAAGCACACGACTCACGCCAGTACATTTCACTTATGGGGCAGCACAAATAATGAAGCAATATCACAAGCAATGGTGGCACTAGTTCAAGCCTTATTCTTTGGGAAAAAAAAAACAATCTAACAAAAGAAGGGCTGGAAGCGGAGTAAATGCCCCAAAACAATTCAATTTGGCGTCTAATTCATGAAACATCGACATGCGAAAAAGCCGCTACAATTATACAAAATGCTGGAATGAAATAACGATCTAATGTAGCTCTCGAGCCACTTCAGATGCCTTCGTTTCTTCCAGAAAAAGCAAATATGGAAAGTCCTAACTTTAACTCGAAAATAAGATCACTTAACGATCTAATGTAGTTCTCGAGCCACTTCAGATGCCTTCGTTTCTTCCAGGAAAAGCAAATATAGAAAAATCCTAACTTTAACTCGAAATAAGAAAAACTGACACTTTCAATATGAAAGAATTACCAAAAACTTTTTGCTTCAAAACTAACCGATTTCATGTTGAATTTGCGTTCGTCCAAAGAATTTGCCATGATCCGAAGAACAGGATAGAAGCTTACTGCTGCTGATGGGGTGCTCTCATTGGAACCGGCCTCTGCAGACCATTTTGCCATCAGTGCATTGAGAACCCTCTGCTTGCCGAACTTGTCGTTCCAGCGAATGCGCTGCATGCGGTCCAAATATTCGCACAGTGTTGCATATTTGAATTTTCGCGATAATTCCTCTTCGGCAGCACTCGCTGCCGCTACTGTTGCATCGTCCTCGTCGTCGTTTCCTCCATCATCATCATCATCACCAACCTCCTTTTTATATGACATCGCAACTGCTGAAATTTATTGCAACAAATCTTCAGGCGCATTAACACACAGCGAGATCGAGAAAACAGCAACGTTGCACCGAGCACAGTATTGGAATTAACAAGCAAATTATAGTTAATCACTGCACAAAAGACATTCATTAAGCTTTTTTTCCCATGGCCTTTCTAAAAGCACTTGAGCGTTCCCCTAGAGTGGTCTTTTTTGCTTCACTCTTCCCATTATTTACATTCCAGTTGTTCTTATCTTGTAAATTCGCCATATGTGTATTCGACAAATGGCGGGTAGAAAGCTGTACTGATGACTCCGGCTCCTACCTGAACGCAGAGTTCTATATTTGTTTACGGCTAAGGGATGAAACACAGACTGTTCATTCGCAGAACAACTTGTAATTCCTATGTCTGCCTTCTAATACTTCTGCTGCGTGTTCGGCCAGTCTGTGCTGCGCAGAAGTATTAGAAGGCAGGCATAGGAATTACAAGTTGTGCTGCGAATACAAACGCATTTTGCGCAAATGAGGAGCCGCAAAAAGACATCCATATCGTTACAAATCAAGAGCATAACCAATATCCACACAGAACAAAAGCATACGCAGCTTTGAGAATGGAAAGAGCAGAGAGCTCTCCCCCGTAATAAATACCCCAGTCAGCTCCGTGCACCTTCCCACTTCATGTAGCTACTCTCGCGGACTAAAAACTAGACAAATTCCCATTCCGACCGAAATTTTATTCCAACTTGCTGAAGTTAGCTTCCTGACAAGATTCTTTTTCCCAAACCCGTGCCCCCACCACCAGCATTCGAAACAAACATGGAATAAATAGCCAGCGCACCGACAGTCGGTGCGAAGATGCGCTTTTTGCATAATTCCTCGCAGATTTTTGTCGCTAACGTTTGCAGGCAGATGCTTCTAGCTAAAAGAATTAAGACTGGGCGCCAGGACTGTCAGGAAACATCGCTTTAAAATTCCAGTCTTCCAGCTTTATAGGTGCTCAAGGAAAAAACTTTGGCGAGCCCATACGTGGGTACCACGCGAATAAGAACGCCCGTTTTGGAAATGGGGACCTCACACACATGTAGATTAAGTTTCCAAAGTTTCAACCCTGTAGCTTTTGTAAGTTTCGAGATGAAAAATCGGTACAAATTGAACACGCACACACATAAACAACCCCTCACCAATATGAGTTTTTATGCATTTTGTGCTGTGCAACACCAATACAAAACGCATATTGTCACGGAGTTGCGTGTTCGCAGCAACCTGTCCGCAACTTTCAACTCGGGAACCACAAAAGCTAGGAAGTTGAAAATTTAGGGGAACGTTCGCCACCCATGTGTGACCCCGCAAATTTAAATTCAGTCTCCCCGTACCCGCGGATAATACGTACGGTCCCTAAAAGTTTGGGCGGGTAAAATTATTATCACGGAAACAACGGAAACTAGAAGGCTGAAATTTTGTGGGCATGTCCCCTGCCCAAGCGCGACCCAGAAAATTTAAATTCAGCTTTCTCCTGCCCGCGGGTAACACGAACGGGCCCGTGAAAATTGTGGCGGGTAAATTATTATCTCGGGAACCGCGGAATCTACGAGACCGCAATTCAAGGGTAATGGCCCTCTGCCCATACTCGACCTTGCCTTTTCAAATTCAGCCTCCCGTGCTCTCGGGAACCACCTATGGTCTCGTGAAAATTTTTGCGGGTGAATTATTATCTCGGGAACCACAGAAGCGAGGAAGCTAAAATTTTATGGGTGTGTTCCTTGCCCACGCGTGACCTAGAAAATTTAAAGGCAGCCTTTCCGCGCTCTCGGGTATCACGTACCGTCTCGTGAAAATTTTTGCGGGTAAATTATTACCTCAGGAACCATGGAATCTACGAAGCTGAAGTTTTAGAATAATGACCTCTTGCCCAAGTACGACCTCGCAAGTTCAAATTCAGCTTTCCTACGCTCTCGGGTATCACTGCTCCGTGGAAATTGTGGTGAGGAAATTATTGTCTCGGGAACCATAAAAGCAGGAAGCTGAAATTTTATGGTAATCTCTTCTGTCCACGTACAGTTCTGCAATTTTAAATTCAGCTTCTCGCGAGTCCGAGTATCACTTACGGCTCCGTCAAGGTTCCGGTGGGGAAAATCATTATCTCGGGGATCGTGGAAGCTGGGAATCTGAAATTTTGTGCTGATCTCCTCTACAAATGTACGACTCGCAAGTTTAGATTTACGCACCCCTGGGTACCACAAACAGCCCCAAGAAAGTTTTGATAGGGGAATTATTATCTCGCCTGCGTGAAATTTTTAGTGGGAAATTCCGCAACTTAGGAATCAAACATTTCAACTATTTTTGCATAAACCAAAGTGCAAAGCAGTGAAAATCTTTAGCAGGCAACCGTTCGGTGAACGGAATAGCACAGCATGATCGCACCAGCTGATCTGGTGCGCATCGCTATTTATTTGCATTACATAGATGCAAAAAACGCATAAAAAGGAAGTGCGAGGATGAAAATTCGAAACGAACAACAAAAACTGCGCACAAAACTGAACACAAGAACGGAATGAGCAAAGAACACTACAGAGTAGCCAACAAAAAATGAACATCTATAACCCGTACATTTTATGACCCCATTTACTTAAATATGTTTATTTTCTGCTGTTTTGATACTGAATTCTGAGTTCCATCCATCGGACTGGTTCAAATGTAACTGACAATTCTCGGCCTTGTTTGATGCTGCTTCGGAGAAATTTCACTCGTTTTTTTCTGGCAGATGCGGTCCTCAAATTTTTTTCCTCGACGCGGTCCTCAGATCAAGACAGCGTGAGCGTTCCCGTAATACGCTAACGTCGAGAAGGTTCACCTCATCAAAAACAGAGTATGATCGGGTGCAACTGAAACATCCATGGGTTTCTTGAGGACATCAACTTGAAACGGGAAATACTGATCCTTGTCATGCGAGAGACCCAAATGTGAAAAGCGATTAACGCCCCAGGCATACAGATTGTCCATCTCGGTGATTGCAAACATCGATGTATTACCGGCAAAAATGCACCTCACTTTCCCGCAATCATTGGGTCCCGCGCTGAATAAGACGCTCTCGAGAAGCGCCGGGCGTTTCAGCGATGTTACTTCAGGTCCCAGACCGATGATGCCATAACCCCAAACATACACCTCGCCGTTCCGGCTCAGTGCCATGCAAGAAGTTGCTGTCGAATCGGCTGCAGCAATTTTTTTCACGCAAAGGCGTATTTCCCGAGGGAAGCCGCTCTGAATTTGCTCCACGAATGGGTGCATCTGCTGGTACTCATTCTGTCCCCACATGAACAGCTCACCGTCAGCGGACAGAGCCATCAGCGTATCGGTGCTTCCCTTCAACCGCGTCACCTTGACGCCCTGCAAATCGCCCTGCACCGGCAGGCAGTGCCAATCGGAGTGGCGCACACCGCGCCCGAGCTGGCCGTCGGTGCCCAGTCCGAACGAGAACAGCTCGCCCGAGTCGAGCACGATGAACGAGGTGTCCAGCGTGCAGTGCACCGCAGCAACACTGCACTCCGACGGCACGCTCACCTTCCTGTACGGCTTCCCCTCCAGCCGTACGAAGGGCACTTTCTCGGGATCTTGCCCGCACTGGCCGTGAGCGTTGTCGCCGAAGGCATAGACTGCATCGCGGCACGCCACCAGAAAGTGTCGTCGGCCGGCCGCCAAACCAATGATCGTTCCCAGCTGCTGCTGCTGCTTCCCTTTCGCATCGGCGTTCAAGCAAATGCCTCTGCTCCAGTAGTCGCTGTTCGCGATGTCGTTGCTGAAGATGTCCACTCCACCGCCGTACAGCCTCCTCCTGGACGCGAACACGGAGAAGCCGAAACCTGCCGCGATGTGGCGGATATCTCGCCCATTGAAATAGAGGATCTGCCGTGGTTTGTTGAAGCCCTCCATAGGGGTCTCGCGCAGTGCCCTCGTAAACAAGCTGCCCGTTTTGCCGAAGCCGCAACCATAAACGAAGTCTGTCTTCTTGGCCTTCGTCCGAAGCGTCCTCACCGCTGCTGCCTTCATGCACACCTGCAATTCATTCCCTTTTAACTACTTTTACGGCTGATTATGCACAGCTGACGTAAGCCTATCACACCCAATATAATCTCATCAGAAGCAATCGCAAAGGGTAGCTTCAGCTAAAGTGGCGTGCAAGGAGAAAGGTAAAATAACAGTGAGTAAAAGCAAATCTGGGCCTAAGCGACTGGAAGACCTTCTCTAAAAACTCTATTTACGATGAATTGGGCTTAGATTGAGCTGACGGCGAATAAAACCAACTGGATTTACACAAAAATTCCACACAAAAATTTCAATGTATTGTCTTCGGCAATGAAGAAAGGATGATTTGAAGCTTGCCAACCTTCATTCAGCAACAGATTTTTCTGCTCAGCATAAACTGTTCGGAATTTAACCCGAGACTCAATCAACTGATGAAAAAAATAACGGCATCACTAGCAAAAAGCCAAAAAAGTCCGCTTTTTCCCTCCCACCGCCCCAAATTTATCGGCAGTTACATAAACTCGGCTCGGTTCGGCTGATGATCTGCGGTGCGTGGGCCTTCCAGCGCCTTGCTCTATCATCTCTGCCAACACTATTTCGCGGCGCCGCTCGCTGGAACTTTGCCGGACGCGTTGGGTAGCGTTGCCCAGCGTCTAACGGCTGAATCGCGTGACTGAGGGGAGTGGTGAATGAGAGGACTGAACGTGGTTGGGAGGTGTTGGTTAGTAACTGCCCCGACGCAGCTCAGAAAGCGAGATTGAGGCCAGGATAGCGGAACGGAGTGAAGTTGCTGTTTAGGAGTTCAGGACGATAAACGGAATAGCAGTAGGAGGTGATGGGTGCCTCGATGCAACTCTGGAGACAGGGATTGGGGACAGGGTACAGGAGGGGAAGAAGGGTGCTGGTCAGGAGTTCAAAGCAAGAACTGCAGATAGCAGTAAAGAGGAAAATAAACCAAAGTAAATAAAAACAAACTTGAATTTGTGAATAAAAGGAAAGCAAAATCAGTGAAACTTATGGTTAGGTGTGGCTGAGGCAAATAAGTTCGACAGGATTTACTGAAGCTTATGCTTCGGTGAAGCTGAAGGCAAATAAGCCCGACTGGGTTACACAAGAACTGCAGACAATTCCGCAGTGTTGCCTCTCATAGCTTGCAACTGTGCACAATAATTATACTTTTGTTTTTTTGTCTTTAAAATCTCACTGGAGCAAAGGCTGATTTCATCCCCAGGCATCCATTCTACCGTGATGGGACTTATTCGCTCTCAGCTTCACCTAAGCATCAGTTTCATAAATAGGAAAGTCTGATGGCGGGTTTTTATGGAACAACTTTATCTAAACATCAGTTTTATAAATAGGGAAGACTAATGATGGGCTTTTGTGGGACAGCTTTACCTAAGCATCAGTTTCATAAAAAGAGAAGTCCCAGGAGCACACTTCCTCATCCTTTCCGTTCTTC